AATGCTCCTCTGCTCTGAATTAAAAATATTTTATGGAATAAGATAGTGAAAATATGTCATCAAATCAAATAGATTGGTTGAATATGAGAATAAATCATTACCTGATAACATGGGAAATAGCCATGGTAGCATCGTCAACAGTCACACAAAAGTTATAAACTGGCTGACCATTACTCCTCATTATCACAAAATCTCCAAGTGTATCCAAATTCCAACTAACCTTAAAAGACACTACCAAAGAAAGTTAATAGCAAGTCAACATAATTTGAAAATAATAATATTTCATTTACAAATTTCCATTTTTTTATAAATGAAAAGCACATCTCAAACGTGTAAGAAGATGATTCATTTATGCAATTACATGGTGAGGTGGAGGATAATATAGAATTGGATACTGTTTAAGAATTTTTAAAGTGCAGGCTTGGAATTGATTGAGAACAAAAGTTCCGGGTTTCAAATACACATTGTCACAATAGATTGTAAATCCATCAGCTTGTTTGGGACATATGGGGCTTGGATAGTGATATACCAGTTACAGCTTTGAGTTTACGGTGGTTCTATTCTGTGATTCTTTGGCACTGTTTTGGTCTGCTGAGAAAGAAATTTATTGCAGTCCTATATGCAGCTGAGGTTGCTAATTTTGCCAGTAAAAGCAAATTGACTTTTTATCATCAATTGATAAGGTGGTTGTTATGCAATAGTGAGCATGTGCTTAGTTTCGATATTATATTTGTATAATAAGCGAAAGAGTATTTGATTTGCAATATATCTGTTACCGAGCTCAGGTTATGCAAGGTAGTATGATGAATAGGAAAGGCTAGAAGGGAGGGAAGAACTCACCTCGCCTCGTATTAAGTCGCTAATTTTCAAACTTCCTTTCGGGACACGAAACCGGAATGTATATGGAGTTCCTTTTTCCAGCTCTTCTTCTACTTCCTTATCTGTTGCATATGCCCATTTACCCGTGTATACTGGCGGCAATTGTTTTAATTTAGCATCCTCCTTCATTTTCTCTAGTTCCTGTGAAAACAAATAGAAAGCAACAAAGAACCTAGAGAACATCTCAATCAAAGATATACATGCTTTAAAACTAGCTGAGTAATAGACCAACACACTCCAGTGTAAGTGTAACAGCCTCACAATCTCATACTTATTAGTAAAAGGTACACATTCCAAAAATAAGAAATGTTTGTGTGAAAAGCAATTTTCCATAATTCGAACAAAAAATAACTGTAATGGATGCAAAATAAATTAGAGTACAAAGAACCAAGTAGTAGCCAAAAAAGTTTTTCCACTAGATCAGATATCTTGAAAAGAGCAGAACACAGAATAATACAAAATGCCAATGAGATCATTACAATTTACAAATCATGCCTAATGAAGGGAAAAAACAGCCACATAACAGACAATTCAAACATAAAGACAAACTACCAATTCAAATCTAAAATGAACATGATCGGATTAGCTTCTTTTGGGTATGCAATTATTTTTCTTAGTCTACCCTTCCTGAGGGAGTTTTTTTATAAAAACTATTTCTTCGCATTATTTTGCTGATTGTTTCAATAACAACAAAAACTGACATTATGATACAGTTTTTCAATATTATTTTTTCAACTGGTATGTTATGACTTTAAGGTTATTGTTTTTTCTTTTTCCGAATAAATACATAACTGTCATAGGTTATAATTTGTAAATAAAAAAATGCACTCTCTTTTTTTCAAATACTACAAGAGGCATACAGTAGACAAATGAATGGCCCTTAAGCTTTCCTAAAACACAAGACACATGTATACAAGATGACATGACAACAAAGGTCTCATTCCATTCCATTACAAGTGTAAGAGGTTGTTGAAGAGATTGAAAATACCTCATTAGAACAGAAACAGCGATAAACTTGACCCGATTGAAGAAGCTTCTCGGCATATTGTTTGTACAAAGAATTCCTCTCAGATTGCCTATAAGGACCATAATCTCCACCAACACCAGGCCCTAACAAATTCACCACCACATCACTCAATTATCACCCAAATAAATAAATTAATCATACAAACACAAGAACAACAAAATAACAAAATGCATTATCTTGTACCTTCATCCCAATCAAGTCCAAGCCAAGAAAGATCTCGAAGCACCGCCTCTTCAGATTCCCTTGTAGACCTCTCCAAATCAGTATCCTCAATTCTCAACACAAATTTCCCACCTTTAGACCTAAATTAAAAAACCCATAACATAAAAAGTCAAAACCATCCAAACCCAGAATAAAAAATTGAATTTTTGAAAAAGAGAACATAAGAAAACAAAACAAAACAAACCCAGAATATAAAATTGAAACCCCATAACATAAAAAAAATCAAAACAAGCCAAAGCCATAAATAAAAATAGAATTTTTATCATAATTGGAAAAGGAAAAAGGAATTGGTGTGACCTGGCAAACAAGTAGTTGAAGAGGGCAGTTCTGGCACCGCCAACATGAAGATTACCGGTAGGAGAAGGAGCAAAACGAACACGAACAGGTAGGGATTGTTGTGAAAGAGCATTGACAGAGAATTTACGTCGGAAGGATAAGATTCTTGAAGGGTAAGCATGTGACTGATGAAGAAATTGAAAGGGAAAGGATGGTGTAACAACCTTTGTCCATGGAGTCCCACTACTCAATACTGCCATCATTTCACTCTAAGAAGAACACAACACAGTACAATACTCCTCAGTTGAAGAACATGAAATAGATAATTGATTTTGTCTTTTGTTTCTTACAAATTTAGGTTATGGAATTAATTGATAATTAATGGGTAAAATAAAGAAAGAATCAATTTCAATAAAAAACAATTGATATGTATAAAGAAAAAGAGAGAGAGAGAGAATTGATATATGTACTAGTAATTTCAGTAACCGGTTTAGGTTCAGTTTAAGAAACCAGACTGTTTTTCATCAAAACCGGTTTGGAAGTGTGAGACGGTCCAAAACCGGGTTGGATTGAAAACTGGTTCACATGCGAATTAGTTTTACAAACGAGATTCTAGAATTCTGTCAGCAGCAATTTCTAAAATATGAAAAAACAAATTCGGAGTTAAAAAAAAAAACATGTGGGGCAAGCCTATGTTATTATTACTGGTTTCATACCGGCACTCCCGTATTCGCTGGTTGTGTACACGTATTAAAATATAAACAAATATTTTTATATAATTTTTATTTTAATATAAATTATTTTTGTAATAATATATAGAATATGTTGTCTCGGCTGCTCTCTTCCTCCTCCTCTTCCAGTTTAATATTCTCTCAATACCGTGTCTGTTTAATATTCTCTCTTTTTCTCTATCTTTTTTATTATTATTTTTTTATTTTACTACCGTGTATATCTTTTTTATGAAGTTTTTCACATATCTATGTCAAAAGAATATTATTTAAACTATTATTAAAAATATAAGTAAGATGATAAATGTCTTTTCCTCTCTGTCCCTCTCAATCTATCTCTATTTCTCCCTTTCTCTCTTATGTTCACTCTCGTGTCACCTCTCCCTCTCTCGCTTTCACTCTCTTTCACGTATTTACACATTAAAAAAAACTCACATATTTTTACTTTCTTATCTGTTTGTATGTTTTTTTTAATATACACAGAAGAGAAAAAATATTCACATTAAAAACTCACATATCTATGTTTTTTAATATACACATTAAAAAAAACTCACATATTTTTTAATATATTATGAGATTTTTATTGTACGTCGCTTTAAAAATATTCTTCAAATTACGTCGCCTTAGAAAAAACAGACACATGCAAATAAAACTCTTCTTTTATAAATCATAACTTTTTATCTTTTAACTTCTATCTCGTTTGTCTTTTTTTTTTTTTAAATTTTAAATGTGCACAGTAGTTAAAATATAAATGACACTTTTTTTATTTATTAAATATTGATTTTAATTTAAATTATTTATCTAATGAACTTTATGATGCATAGGAGTCTACATTGTAAAAGATTGTTTAGTAATATTTCAAATTAATAGACATATGTATTCAAATGAATGTTCTATGTGGCTCCAATCAACAATACAATCTTTTCAAGACTTAGTTGGTTAAAATGAAGAATTAAAATTGAAATATATAAATTTGAAATAAGAAAAGTAAATTAAACGTTTTTAACTTTTAGAATAAAATGGACAACATCCAAAAGAAAGAGAAAAAAAATTGATTAGATGGTTGGCTTGTTAATCACTAATTCAATATCTACATACTTAGTGAAAAGTTCACCGAAAAAAATTGATAACTTAAATTGACATAAGCATTTCCCCTGCTTCTCTAAGACTCTAACCTTGCATAAACTTTATAGATTATCTAATATAAAAAAGAAAAAAAATCTAAAAATAAAGATAATAATGTAATAAATAAATTAAAATTACCATTAGTGTTACTTTTAAATAGCCAGAAAATGTCCATAGCACAAAATCAATTAAATGACAGAATTATATGTCATTTAATTCCACAAAACATAAAACCAAAAATAGTTCAGATGAATCAAAACTCTCAAATGTTCCATCATTTTTTTCCAAAGGTAATGATAACTCTTACTCACTATCTTTCAAGATAAATAATAAAAACAAAAATAATGAATTAAAAGTTTTCAAAGACATATTTCAAAAAAATAAAAAGGTAAAAAATTCATCAAAATAGATAATTAAAAACTTATATAAGAACATATATGCATTCAAATAAATAATATTAAGTAAATATTTATCAAAATATTTTTTGGAATAAATCAAAAAATGGTATCAGGTCATCTTTAAAAGACCAAAACTAATTTAACAGTAAGAAATGTATAAGGTACAAATCATTTTGTATACTACCATATCCATCTTGAAGGTACAAAACTAAGGCACTTTGCAAGTTTCTACTCGATTTCCAAGAACACATGATTGAATATACTTAATTTAATCTAAATGAAATTAATTAGAACATATATATTCACCAAAACTTCTTCGTCGTCAATTCACAAGTTTTGCATTGATTAATGGCCAAACACACCCTTAACACCCTCGAGGGTCTCTCCCATGGACAACCTGCAAGGTAAACACGAATATACTTTAAATAAAAGCATCATCTACACTCGAAATGTTGCTTTCTCATTTGTAAATCTAATCAACCGCGGAAAAGAATGACTGATACAAATCTAGCCGTGTCTATCGAACTCATTAATGTGTTCTAAAGAAAAAATATTACTAGAGTTTTCTTGTGGTTACGCAGAAATTGTGGACTCTAAAGTCACTATTCTAGTTTTTAACACAAGACAACAATCTTTAAGAATGTAGTAGCATGAAATGTTGCTATGAATGAACAAATGAACTAAAACTTCAATGTCAATTATGAGCATCAAGTTGCAGCAACATACTTATGCATGCAGTATTTATACTCTTGGCTCCGAATGAAGTCCTTTTCTCCCTCTTCAAGCTACAAGGAAAAAAATGCGCAAAAACGTAAGAACAGGTAAAACAAAACTATTAATCTCAGTCATGCTAAAAAGGGTATGATACGTAAAAAAATTGCCTTACCGGGTCACTCTCATAGATTAGCTCGTAACAAGATGGTGAAAGACATCGCAGAGCACAGTTCTCCCTTGTTATCATGGACGATTTGCATTGCCAACCCCACATCCCACTATCCATAAAAAGATTATAAATATGCATGCCAACTGTTAGAACAACAAATCCGACTCTAAAGGAAACAACAAATCCGACTCTAAAGGAAACAGATAAATAAACACACACACAAGAGCAAAAAACATTGATCACAAAGTTCGACAAATTGTGCCTACGTCTCCGACACTAAACGGATGCTGTAGTTTTTCTATTACGTAATGCTTAAGGTTATAGAAAGCAAAACTAACACACTCTACTGGATTATATTGAATTTTCCAACAATATATTTGTTGAATTATGAGAGACTAAGAGACATTTAAGTTAAACCATGTGTTTTGAAAGCACTATGGAGACTTTATTATATATGGAGAGATTACAATTAATTACATGATATAATCGATGTGAGACTATTCTACATACAAATATTCTTAACACTATATATATTTACAAATATCAACACTCTCCCTCAAACTGTAGCATATAAGTCAAATGCACCAAGCTTGCCACATATATAATTAGTTTTGGGGCTTCGCAGAGATTTTGTAAACACATCTGCTAATTGATCATTACAGTTGACAAAACTTGTGACGATGTTGCCAAATTCAATCTTCTCTCTGACAAAGTGATAGTCTATCTCAATATGTTTGGTCCTCTTATGGAAGACTGAATTTGAAGTAATGTGCAATGCAACTTGATTATCCCATACAAGTGTCATTGGTCTTGCTTCTTCAATTTTAAGTTCTTTGAGCAACTGTTTTAACCAAATGAGTTCACATGTTGTCATTGCCATGGTCCTATACTCTGCCTCGGCGCTTGATCTTGCAACTACATTTTGTTTCTTACTTTTCCAGAATATAAGGTTTCCTCCAACAAGTACACAATACCCAGAGGTGGATCGTCTATCAATTGGTGACCCTGCCCCATCAGCATCAGAGTATCCAACTATCTGAGTATATCTTTGATCTTCATACACTGAACCTTTTCCATGAGCACATTTGATGTATCTTAGAATCCGGATAACAGCATCCATGTGTTCCTGACAGGGAGAATTTAAGAACTGACTTACCACACTGACTGCAAAAGAAATGTCTGGACGAGTGACTGTGAGATAATTCAACTTTCCAACCAATCTCCTATACCTTCCCGAGTCTGATAGAGACTCCCCCTGATTCGGTAATAGTTTGACACTTGGTTCCATAGGAGTATCAACTGGTTTAGTGTTCAACAAACTTGTTTCTTCCAAAATATCCTTAGCATATTTCCGCTGAAAAATCACCAAACCATCTTTAGATTGGGCTACCTCAATACCCAAGAAATATCGGAGTTTACCAAGATCTTTTATCTGAAATTGATTCGAAAGATGTTGTTTCAACTGGAGTATTCCCGACTCATCACTACCAGTTATGACAATATCATCTACATGCACAATAAGATAAATACACTCTTGGGCTGAGTGACGATAAAAGATAGAATGGTCAGCTTCACTACGGACCATACCGAATTATTGTACTACAGTGCTGAATCTGCCAAATCAAGCTCTCGGAGATTGCTTAAGACCATAAAGAGATCTGTGTAGCCTATAAACCATATTCGATGACTCCTCCTGAGCAACAAACCCAGGTGGTTGCTCCATATATACTTCCTCTTCAAGATCACCATGTAAAAATGCATTTTTGATGTCAAGTTGATGAAGAGGCCAATGTCGAATGGCTGCAATGGCTAGAAGAAGTCTAACATATGCCATCTTGGCTACAGGCAAGAAGGTATCACTATAATCCAACCCAAAAATTTGAGTGTATCCTTTGGCTACCAAGCGAGCTTTAAAACGGTCAATTTTACCATCTGGACCAACCTTCACTGTATAAAGTCAACGACAACCTACTAAAGGTTTTCCAGTGGGTAGAGGAACCACTTCTCAAGTACCACTGCTTTGAAGAGCACACATTTCATCAATCATTGCTTGCCTCCACTCAGGGTGAGATAATGCTTCACTTGGAGATTTATGAATAGAAACAAAAGACAAAGAGGACAAACAAGTATACTGCAAAGGGGAAAGGCGATGATAACATAAATCAATATAATGTGGAGAGGGATTTCGTGTTTGACGTATACCTTTGCGAACGGCAATCGAAAGATCAAACTCAGGTTGCAGGATCAAATCTGGTGATGGCAATAGCGTCGGAGGAGAGTCTACAATGACCTCAGGGACAGGTACGACCTCAGGGACATGTACAACCTCAGGGACAGGTATGACCGACGTTGGTTGACGACACTGATATGTTTGAAGTGGGCGAGAAGTGGGGGGTCAACCGTAGGAGTTTCTCGTGGGACAGGTTCCCTAGAATGATGGGGGATGATGGAAAATGGGACTTCCGAAAGAGGTGTGGGAGTATTTTCCTGAAGGGGTTCCGAAGTGACTTGGGTGGACGCAAAATAAGGCACAGACTCGAAGAAGGTAACATCGGTCAATATCAGGTATCGTTGCAGAGTGTGTGAGTAGCAATGATAACCCTTTTGGGATCGATGATAACCAAGAAAGACACACTTTAGTGATCGAGCTGATAGTTTATCAAGACTAGGGGAGAGATTATGCACAAAACATGTAGACCCGAAGACTCGAGGAGGAATTAGGTGAAGAGAAGAGTTTGGAAATAGGATTGAATGAGGGATTTTATTATTAAAGACAGATGAGGGCATGCGATTTATGAGGTAACACGCCGTGAGCACAGCATCCCTCAAAAATCTGATAGGGACATTACCATGGAGAAGTAGAGTCTGAGTGGTTTCTACGAGATGCCAGTTTTTGCGTTTGGCTACCCCGTTTTGTTGAGATGTATGAGGGCAAGATGTTTGGTGCAGGATACCATTGGATGACATAAAAGTTTGAAATTGTTGGGATAAATATTCACGTGCATTGTCGCTTCTTAAGGTATAAATAGACAAACCAAATTGGGTTCTTATTTCTCGATAAAATTGTTCAAAAATAGAAAACAATTCAAATCTGTTTTTCATTAAAAATAATCACGTGCAACGTTAAAAATCATCAATAAATGTTACAAAATACCTAGATTCAAAAGTAGACACGGTACGCGATGGACCCCAAACATCGGAGTGACCTAAAGCAAAAGGGGACGTAGCCCATTTATTGACTCGATCGGGAAAGTGACTACGAGTATGTTTCCCTAACCGACAAGACTCACAATGTAAAGTGGATAATTTAGATAAACTGGGCACCAACTTTTATAGCTTGGGAAGACCTGGATGACCTAACTGCGCATGTATAATGAGTGGAGAATCTGTGGTGGAGCATGTGGTAGATGACATAGAGAAGTAGTAGAGGCCTTGAGACTCACATCCGACGTCAATCGTCTGTCCCGAACTCCGATCCTACAGAATAACATCACTGTTAGTAAAAGTGATAGAACAATTAAGAGAACGAGTTAAACGACTAATTGACAGTAGATTAAATGGACAATTAGGTACATATAGGACAGAAGTAACAAAGAGAGATGGTAGAATTTGAACAGTACCGAACCCTTGGGATCGAGTTTGAGAACCATTTGCGACAGTTATACTCGGTAAGAAACCAGAGGTAGAAAGGGAAGAGAAAAGATTTTTATTACCGGTAACATGATCAGACGCACCAGAGTCGAGGACCCAAGGACCAAGAGGAGATGATTGAGAGACGCAAACAAATGAATTACCAGTGTGTGCAATCGAAGCCGTGGAACCAGAGGTCTGGTTAGTCTGACACCACCTGAGAAAATCCTCGTAGCTTGGCGTAGGGTTCTGAAGAGAAGGTGAAGTCTGCATAGTGTCTAGGTTATCAATTTGAGCTGCATTTGCCTGCCGTGGAGATTTGCCATGCAACTTCCAGCAACGATCGATAGTATGCCTAAGCCGGTTACAATGGTCACACTTAGGACGAGGTTTGAAGTTGGATGACCCTCCTCGAAGGCGATTCTGATTGTTGCCAAGAGATGCAAGAGCAGCAGTGTCACTTGGTGTTGGAATAGCAATAGATGGAGGGGAAACCGAGCCAAACGCATGAGGTGTAGCCAAGCACAACAATTTTTCACTAAGTGTATCATAGTTAGGAACAGTAGTAACTGATAAAATCTGGTTACGAACGGATTCGAGTTCTGATGGTAGTCCTTTAAGTGCCATGACCATGAAATGTTTACTCTGTTGTTCGGCATGAGCCGTTGCATCCTTTGCGTAAGGCATGAGGGTTGCGTAACTTGCTTTCAAGACATCAAGCTTACTCAGATAAGCTTGCACATCCATATTTTCCAACTTCAGTGTGTTGAGTTTGTGAATGACACTGTATAGAGAATGAACATCGTTGGAAAAGACTTTCTTGGCCTTTTGCCACACCTCATAACAAGTGGAGAATGTTTGGTACCGCGCTTGGAGGATAGGTGTTATGGAAAACCACAACACAGTACACAAAGAGGCGTCATCTTTCTTCCATTTAGCGAGTTTGGCGGCTGCAACGTCACTCAATTGGGTGGTTAGATGCTATTCATATCCCTGACCGTGAAACCACATCTCGACAGCACGAGCCCATATGTTATAGTTGGCTGATCTAGTTAGTTTTTCACATGGGATAAGCGGAACTTTAGTAAACAAGACAAAATCAGCATCTCCCATGGCTTAAAACACAGCAACCGGGGTTGTTTTAACTAGAATACGACTTTCTGTGAGTCGAAAACGGAAACCGAGGGGGATCTGGAACCGAAGGAAGGAGGCGGTTTTCCGGTAAAAAATAATCGTGAACAGTTGCGGCGACGATGAACAGTGGCGGCGGCGGTGCACCGGCAGAGGTCACTGGAAATTTTTTAAAGAAAAAGAGGTGAGATAAACCGGAATGATGACACGGTTTGCAGAAGAAAGTTTCTCACCGGAAGATAGTGGATCAACCGGGTAGCATACGGTGAAGATTTGTCTCTTATTAGCCTCTCGATACCATGTTGAATTAGGAGAGACTAAGAGACATTTAATTTAAACCGTGTGTTTTAAAAGCACTACGGAAACTTTATTATATATGGAGAGATTACAACTAATTACATGATATAATCGATGTGGGACTATTCTACATACAAATATTCTTAACACTATATATATTTACATATATCAACATTATTTTTGAATATTACTAAAGCGTTCAGCTCCACTTGCTACGTTATATCCAAGCATCTATAACACCGGACACAACACCCACACTAACACGTCGACACCGATAGTAATTTAGAAAAATGAATAAATTGAACATAATCAAACGTGTCAGAGTCAAACACCGAACACACCTTTATTCGGAAGTGTTGGTACTACAGAGTATACTTCACAAAAAATTACCAAACATTGTATATTTTGCACAACCTAATTCATTTTTCAAGAGGAGAAAAGAACACCAGACTCGGAAAAAATTGAAAACCAAGTGCAAGTGTATATAGCACTGAACCAGAAGCAAACATATCTGAGTTATAACGATGAAAAACAGGTTAATAGCAAATCTGTAACTCTGTATCAACTACAGTTTCCAAACATTACACATGTTCAACATTCAACAACCGAACCAAACTTTCAATAAAAAAACAAAGAATCCAGACCCTGAAATGGTAAATTCAAGTGCAGCTGTCTATAAAAGCATTGTTCTGAATTGGAATCAAACGTTTTTTTAACTATAAAGGCAAATAGATTAATAAACAAATGGAGTGCATATAAAATTTGGTCTCTCAGATATTACTTGTGATGGTCCCCGAAGATTTCTATAAATATAACTTTGATCCCAAAACTCTCCACAGACTAACAAACTCACCTTATAAAAGAAAGAAACTTTGGGGACTAAAATAACACAAGCAACATTTTTCAGCACCAAATTAAACTATTTACTCTTAACAAAAAGTGGAGCAACATTATATATTCTCTTCCACAATTTTTCAGCTACAAAGTATGTGTGTATGTGTTCTCCTCTCAAGTGTGGATGCCACTACTCCCTTTGTCAGAAGTTCCAATAAGTCCCTCTCTCCTCATTTTCTCTTCCTTAGATTTCCTACAGAACACCACCCAAGAGTTCACCTCCAAAGCTATAGAAACACCAATCAGAGTAGAAAGTCCCAAACAATAACTCAACTTGGCATAGGACCTACTGGCCCCCATCACTTCAAATCCCTGAAACACATTCACAAATCCAAGCACGACACAAGAGTACCCAACAAAGTGGTGGTACGATTTCCAATACTTCCTGAACTTGTTCCTAGTGTCTGGCCTAAACAACAGTGCCAAAGTCTGCAAAGCTCCAAGGCAAAACACAGCGATTCCAAGCTTCCTATGGAGCTTGTACTCTACTCCCGGAGACAATTGCCCAAGGCGAATGCCAATGGCGAATCCCACAGTTCCAAGAATGAAAGCAAACAATTGTATTCCTGCATGAGCATAGAACCATGCAGGACCTAGTGCTTGAATGGGCCTAAAGTAACGTGCAGTTATGGCTCCCATCGGCAAGAGAATACCCCAAGAGATGGCATTCATGGTGCCGTGAATTACTCTAAGCATTGTGAGGTCTGTGTGTTGAGGAGCGGACGAACCCGACAACACATCAAAGGTGGCAATGGAAGAGAGGTCAGTGGATGTTGTTGGATGAATAGTAGGCGAGTAGCCTTGAACATAAAGTCCTCGGTTCCAAACAAGGTGGATTTTGGTTTTGTTTAATTCAAGTTTGATTGTGGCGTAGATTTGGATGGCAGCACCATTGTGTATGGTGGCCATTTTGCCACCATACATGGCTGCAGTGGAAGAGACAAGGCGGATGTCCAAAGGTCGAGAGAGTAATGGAGATTTCTGTAACTTCACATTCGGGTCTAGAATGTAAGGGAGTAAAACTATTTGGCCTGTGTTTGGGTCGGAAAAGGCTATTAAAGCACGAGTTCCCGTCATCTCAGGTGAAGTGGGGTTGATCCCCCATCCAACCCACCCAGAAGGCGAAATGAAAGTTCCAAAGAAAACTACTTCTAAAGTAGAGTTATGAGGGTAGAAAGTCCATGCTATAGAAGCCTGTTGAGTAGGAAGGTTCATACATTTTTGAAAAGTTTTAGTAGATGTTTCCGTGGTGCAATGAGATGAAAAACCAATGTGAAAAAAGAAACACAATTGGAGAAGAAAGACAAAAACAAGAAACATGGTGGAGGAAGAATTGCAGTAGTGGATGGTGGTTTATGTGGTTTGCTAAAGCTTTATGTAAACGATTGGTGTGATGCAATGATGATGTCTTCAAAAGGAAGAGTGTAATGTAATGCAATATGTCATTATAGATTTTGAAGACATTAGTAAATTTAGTTAATGCTTAACGTTGAAGGAAAGCCATATAAAACAATACTCTATGCGTTTGTTGGTGGACACAACCACAGACATAAACATACTACTTTCACTAAGTATAAGGTTAAAAACATGTCTCTAAATACAACAGTCATTTCAAATTAATACTAATGTTTATTTTTTAGATTCATTATTAATGTATCGGTTCAATATAATAGTCCAAACATATTGATTATTCAATAGACCAAACACTTTGATTATAAACTTTAATGGAGTATGTAAATTTCTTTTTACAAATTTACCCCTCAAATTTGAACCGAACTCTATGCCCAAAAAGGTAGTTTTAAGAACATTTATATAGAAAGTGGGGAATGGTGAAAACCTGTCAATATCAGCATAGCATTGAAGCTTGTTGCTCCTAACTTGAACATCCTGCAAAAAATAGAACAACCCAGAAATTAAAACCCAAAAGGGTTAAAGAAAGTGAAATAAAAAAAGGAAATTGTTAAGGGAAGAGATGGAATAGTTATGATACAGACAGAGATTGGGTGAGGAGAAGATTTGGCGAGGAGTGGAGAGATAGAGAAGAAGTAAAGGGAAGATGAAATTAGAAGAAGAGATATCAACGATGAATTTGAATTTCCAAAGGAAAATGTCTTTGCAACTATCATTGTGTGCTTCTTCTTCCTGCGTTTGATCCAAAGCCGTGAATCTTGCCGTGGAAAAATAAATAACACTTAATTAAACCCTATTCATTTAATTTCAAATTTCATTATAGTCTCTTAATTAATTAATAAATGTTAAATATTTTCCATTAGGCAAGTTCTTCCTTTGTGTAAAATACGTGAAAAAACTTAACTCTAGTGATGTGGCACGGACACTAAGATTTTTTTATATTTTCTCAGACACCAAATTTCTATAATATACACTCTTTTCTAGCAAACTACTCTTATCATTATTTTATCGTTCAATATTTTTAATAAGAATTTAATATTCATTGTCTTCTACAATGGATGGAGTTAGTGTTTCTTGTAACGTCTATAATTTAATTAATTATTTAATTAAATTATTTTTGGAATATTTGAGAAGTTGTATTGTGATTAATTGGATTTATTTATTTTATTAAGTGGAGAAATAATATTAGAAGTATAATATTATTTAATGTGGGCTTGTTTTAAAGGAATAGAAGTAATAATGGGGTGTATTAGTTTTAAGCCCAATAAGGAGTAAAGAGAATAATAGGTTATTTTATTATTGTTAGAAAGAATAGAAAGAAGAAGCAGTAGAAGAATAAGGGTTTGAGAAGAAGAACGTGAAGCTGTTGGAAAAGAGGAAGAACGGTAGAACGGGAATTCAATCGGAGATTATAGAGTGACCTTCAATCCAAGGTAAGAGTGGGGTTCTGACTCTATAATTGGGTTCATGATAATTGGTATGTGGGGTTAGATGTGAAAGTGTTGTTTTGTTCACGATTGAATTATATGTTGTTATATGATGAGAATTGATGATTGAAAGATGAATAATGACGTCCCAATGTTGTTTAATTGATGTAGAGTTGTAGGATAATCGTAAGAGATGATTTTCTATGATTAGGAGATGTTTTTAGGGCTTAAGGAATGGAACCCGTAGTGAAAACACAGAGAAAATCGCAGAAATTATGCAGGATATAGCAGTATGCATCGACCCCAAATGGTATGTGTCGATACAAGCAGGTTTAGAGACTCAGGATGAGTCGACACGAAGGAGTCTTGCGTCGATACATGAGGACTTTTAGACTCAGGATGAGTCGATACGTAGGAGCATGTGCCGATACATGTTGTGTGTCAGACTCAAGATGAGTCGATACAAGAAAGGATGCGTCGACTCATGTTACGACTTCAGTGCAGTACGCGTCGATCCAAGACGTTGTGCGTCGATCCATGTTGTCTGGTTTTAGAAGAATCAGTTTGAAGATTCTGTAACTTGAGTTTTCGGACTCCCTTTGAGGTGTCGTTCGAAGCGTTGAATAGCTAACGCGATGAACTTTATTCTTGAGGATTAAAATGAAGAATAGGAAGTGTAATCCTAGTAGCCAATTTAGGATTAGAGTTAATTCCCGCGTTAATCGTTATGTTAGTTTTTATGAAGAAGGATGGGGATGAGACGTTTATAGATTATTGTCTGGGTTATAACAGTAGGACTAATGCTAATAATGATGTAAGATTTCAGAATAGTAGTATGTAGAGGTTTAGTGATTTAGAAGTAAGCCTTAGTTGATTAACTAATTATAGGTAATATCTTGTTGTAGGACTATGGCCAACGTTGTGAAATTGATGAGTACTGTCGTATTACCGTACGGCTGAGTTGTTAATGAGGTGATGTTAATGAGAGTTGGTTTTAATGAATTATGATGTATAAATGATGTTTGATGATTTATGATGATAAATGATGTCGATGAATGATGTTGATGAAGAGATGTTGAGATGCTTTTAAGATGTAGGCCTTTGGCCAATGATGGTGTTGTATTGAGATGTTGTCAATTATGGTGTTGTTATTACATTCATGATTGTGTCGCATACATTGCATTTTGAGATAGAGCTTATGCTCGTTGAGATGGCCTGTATTGGTGAATATTGAGATGAAGGGCTATGCCTTGTTGATGCCTCTAATAATTGGCAATTTTTGAGATGGGAGTTCTACTCCAATGGTACCACATGCATTTGCATAGTATTGAGTTGCATTATTTGATTGCATAAAGAAGTTGTGTATTATTGTTGTGATTATTGTTGATTATGAGATGAGAAGTGGTGATGTTACGTGATCTAATTTAATATATTAATTATCATACGCTTTATTATATTGTTAGAGATCTCACCCCTTCTGTTTGAATGTTGCCCTTATGTTGGTAACGTGCATGTAATCGAGAGTAAATGTTGTATACCTTCAATAGTTCGAGTCGGTGTCATTGCTCTGATATGTAACACTCAGGAGGATGAATGCTTGTTGCTTTTGATTGTTGATTATTCAGTTGTTGAACCTTAAGTTGATTATTATTAAATATGTGTTGTTTTGAAATTGTTGTAATGATGATAAAGATGTTACTAAGAATTCCGCTGCGTAGATGTGAAAATTGTTGAATTAAGAGATTAAAGTGTTTTGATGACGGTTCATCTGAAGTTTTAAAGTGTTACGTATCCACGATGAATGCAATGAATTTTGAATGATGAAATTGTGTCATCCTGATTCGTTGCATGAATGATTTTATAACTCTGATTTATCTATATAATTTTCGGATAGAATTGGGGTGTTACAAAGTTGGTATCAGAGCAAAAGGTTGGTCCGACCTTGTCGTCGAGTCGTAGTTGTCTAACAATCGAGTATTGTTAATTTGAGTTCTAACCGTTGTTTATGTTGTAGCGAGAAGTTGAGATGGATGGAAGGAATGATGCTGAGATGAAGAAGGTGATACTTGAGGAGAGTCATAGAAGTAAGTTGAGTATTCATCCAGGAGCTACAAAGATGTATCGAGATTTGAAAGGTTTGTTTTTGTGGCCTGGAATGAAGAGTGATATGGCTCGGTTTGTGTATGCATGTTTGACTTGTCAGAAGTTGAAAGTTGAACATCAGAAACCTGCAGGATTGATGCAACCGTTAGAAGTTCCATAATGGAAATGGGATAGCATTTCAATGGACTTCCTGACAGAGTTACCTAGTACTATAAGAGGACATGATTCAATTTGGGTGATTGTTTATAGGCTTACGAAGTCAGCTCATTTTATTCCTATCAACATCAGTTTTCCAGTGTCGAAGTTGGCTGAGATTTACACTAGTGTGATTGTGAAGTTGCATAGTGTTCCTTTGTGCATTGTGTCAGATAGAGATCCAAGATTTACTTATGATTTTTGGAAGAGTTTGCAAGAAGCATTGGGTTCTAAGTTGAGGTTGAGTTCAGCGTATCATCCTCAGACAGATGGTTAGACTGAACGGACGATTCAATAGTTGGAAGACTTGCTGAGGGCATGTGTTCTTGAACAGGGAGGTTCGTGGGATGCTTATCTTCCGCTGATAGAGTTCACTTATAATAACAGTTACCATTCTAGTATTGGGATGACACCTTTTAAAGCGTTGTATGGCCGAAGATGTAAAACTCCTTTATGTTGGCATGAATCTGGTGAAAGTGTAGTACTTGGACCTAAACTTGTTCGTGAGACTACTGAGAAGGTGAAGTTGATTCGAGAAAAGATGAAAGCTTCCCAAAGTAGACATAAGAATTATCATGACAAGCAAAGGAAAGATTTATAATTCCAAGCGGGTGACCATGTGTTTTTTAGAGTTACACTTGTGACTGGTGTTGGGAGAGCATTGAAGTCTAAGAAGCTTATTTCTCGTTTTATTGGACCGTATCAGATTTCGGAGAGAGTGGGGAATGTTGCGTATAGAGTGGCTTTACCGCCTAATCTTTTGAATTTTCATGATGTGTTTCATGTGACGCAACTCCAGAAGTATATTTCAGATCCATCTCATGTGATTCATATGGACGATGTGCAAGTACAGGATAATCTTACGGTGGAGATGATGCCGGTATGGATCGCGGATCGTGAAATAAAGACCCTGAGGGGCAAAGAGATTGCTTTGGTTAAAGTGGTTTGGCTAGGAGCTGCCGGAGAAAGCATGACTTGGGAGTTAGAGAGCAAGATGCGAGGCTCCTACCCTGAGTTGTTTGATTAAGGTAAAATTTTGAGGACGAAAATATTCTAAGTGGGGGAGAGTTGTAACGCCCTTAATTTAATTAATTATTTAATTAAATTATTTTTGGAATATTTGAGAAGTTGTGTTGTGATTAATTGGATTTATTTATTATATTAAGTGGAGAAATAATATTAGAAGTATAATATTATTTGATGTGGGATTGTTTTAAAGGAATAGAAGTAATAAGGGGGATGTATTAGTTTTAAGCCCAATAAGGAGTAAAGAGAATAATAGGTTATTTTATTATTGTTAGAAAGAATAGAAAGAAGAAGCAGTAGAAGAATAAGGGTTTGAGAAGAAGAACATGAAGTTGTTGGAAAAGAGGAAGAACGACAAAACGAGAATTCAACCAGAGATTATAGAGCGACCTTCAATCCAAGGTAAGGGTGGGGTTCTGACTCTATAATTGGGTTCATGATAATTGGTATGTGGGGTTAGATGTGAAAGTGTTGTTTTGTTCACGATTGAATTATATGTTGTTATATAATGAGAATTGATGATTGAAAGATGAATAATGACATCCCGATGTTGTTTAATTGATGTAGAGTTGTAGGATAATCGTAAAAGATGATTTTCTATGATTAGGAGATGTTTTTAGGGCTTAAGGCATGGAACCCGTAGTTAAAACACAGAGAAAATCACAGAAATTATGCAGGATAGAGAAGTATGCGTCGACCCCAAATGGTATGTGTGGATACAAGCAGGTTTAGAGACTCATGATGAGTCGACACGAAGGAGTCTTGGTCGATATATGAGGACTTTTAGACTCAGGATGAGTCGATACGTAGGAGCGTGTGTCGATACGTGTTGTGTGTTAGACTCAGGATGAGTCAATACAAGAGAGGATGCGTCGACTCATGTTGCAAGTTCAGTGTAGTACGCGTCGATCCAAGACGTTGTGCGTCAATCCATGTTGTCTGGTTTTGGCAGAATCAGTTTGGAG